TAAATTATTAATAAACATTTGGGGGGGGGGGAGGGTGTGAAATGACACCTGAGCAGGGACACTAAGGACAAGGTGACTTGAAGGTCTCTCACTCAGGTGCGCCTTCTCTCTCTCTCTCTCCGTAAATCCAAATCAACCACAGCAATCTGTTGTGCAAAATAGCTGCTCAGCCAGATGGGAAGCAGCCTTGAAAGAAGAGGTGGGAGGCTGCCCCGCCCCTCCGCGCGCGCGCGCGCTATGACGACAGCGGCGCGCGCAGCCCGAGTGGCCACGTTGACGCGGTGGGAGGCGGGCGCGCGCCTGGTCGCCACGTTTGGTCTCGCGCCTGGAGCAGCAGCAGCGGCTGGAGGGACCCCAGGGCAGCAGGAGCAGGAAAAGCCATGTCTTCGCCACCCAAAGCCAAAGCGGAGACGCGGGCCGGACACCTTCCTGCTGGTACTGCGCCTCTCTTCCTGCTCTTCCTTTGCTTGCTTCCTCTCTTTCAAGGGGAAGGCTAAGGGGGGAAGTTCCCTATTTTGGGGGGAAACAACCCCCCCCCCCCCAGCACTCCTCTTTGCATGCTGACAGGAAGGTGAGGAGGACATTCTGAAAGGAGTGGAGGGCTTGCTTCCCCTCAGAGAGGAAGGTTTTGAGGCACCCTCATGTTAGATCCCCACAATAGAAATTGCTTCCCCAATCTCTAGCATTGCAGAGAGCGGGAAAGCTAGAACTTTTTACTTTCTTTGGAGAGGCCTCAGCTGTTTTGTCTTTCTGCTCTGCTGAAGTTGCTGCAATGCAAGGAAGTTTCTAGGAGTGGAGGAAAGTTGAAGGGCCTTCCAGGCGGAAGAAACAGTACCTGGCTGCACCCCTGAGTGAAGAAGGAGTAAGGCTGGGTTGTTGTAAGTTTCTTTGGGCTATATGGCCATGTTCTAGAGGCATTTTCTCCTGACGTTTCACCTGCATCTATGGCAGGGGTCCACACACTTTATAAACACAGTCCCTCAAACTGTTGGGAGGGGCCGGATTATAATTTGAAAAAAACATGAATGAATTCCTATAAACACTGCACATATTATTTGTAGTGTAAAATACACTTTAAAATAATACAATAATTAAAATTAAGAATAATTTTAACAAACATAAACTTATTAGTATTTCAATGGGAAGTGTGGGCCTGCTTTTGGCTGATGAGTTTGTTGTTGTTGTGTGCTTTCAAGTCATTTCACACTTAGATTGACCCTGAGCAAGGGCCGGGTAAATTATTATTATTATTATTATTAACTTTATTTGTACCCCGCTAGCATCTCCCAAAGGACTCGATGCGGCTTACAAAGGCCAAGGCCTCAAAACACAACATAACAATACAAAACCTAAAGCAAATTAAAAACAGTTAAAGCAATATTAAACAACAAGCAATAAACAACACATCAAGACACTATAAAACTGGGCCGGGCCAGAGTAATGGGTACAGGATTAAAAGTGCTGATGTGACAGGTGATATGTAAGGATTATAGGGTAAGTGCAGTGTGCAATGTGCAGCAATCTTAATTCTAATAAAGTGCTTCTGGGACTTGTTATTGGAGTTTCCTATTCTGGAAAGGCAGAACATTCTGTAAATTACCTTGGAGGGCCGTATTTGGCCCTCAGGCCTTAATTTGAGGACCCCTGATCTATGACAAGCATCCTCAGAGGTAGTGAGGTCTATTGGAACTAGGGAAATTGGGTTTATATAGCTGTCGAATGACCAGGGTGGGGCATGTGGACAATTTCAACAGAAAGGAGGAAACCTTGAAAATGAATAAAATCTGGCTACCAGTATTAAAAACTCTAAAATTATAACAGCAAAACAACAGAGGGAAAACAATCAGGGACATCTAATCACCTCTCAACAAAAGATTGCTCCAGGCACTGCCAGGCCATCAAATGCTAATCAAGGTGGTCAGTTGAAACATTCACACCTAGCTCCAGCAGACAAGAGTCCTTTGTCCCACCCTGGTCATTCCACAGATATATAAACCCATTTTCCTACTTCCAATAGACCTCACTACCTCTGAGGATGCTTGCTATAGATGCAGGCAAAACGTCAGGAGAGAATGCCTCTAGAACATGACCATATAGCCCGAAAAAACCTACAACAACCCAGTGATTCCGGCCATGAAAGCCTTCAACAATACATTCATGTACTGTTTGTCACTTTTCTATAGGCAACTGATTGGCCTTGATATTCTGGATTATATGGCTGTGTGGAAGAGCCCTCATTGGAGGGAAAAGGCTTGAACATCCAAGACTGCTTCTACATTGCAAAATTAATGCAGCTTGACACCACTCTGACTGCCATGGCTTGAAGGATACCTCAAAGTTGTAGTTTAGTGCACAGTTAAGGTATTTGAGCGGACCACTCTTTCCTGCACTTGTACTTTATAACATTACCAATACTAAAACAGTAGGGATACTGTGTTGGGTGCTGGTATTAAATACAGCAAGATAAGGCTAGAATACACACTTAGAGGTGTATTAGTTTAGGACAGGGGTCCTCAAACTAAGACCCGGGGGCCGGATACGTTCCTCCAAGGTCATTTATCCGGCCCTCACTCAGGGTCAATCTAAGTCTTAAATGACTTGAAAGCACACAACAACAAGCCTATCTCATCAGCCAAAAGCAGGCCCAAACTTCCCATTGAAATACTAATAAGTTTATATTTGTTAAAATTGATCTTCATTTTAATTATTGTATTATTTTAAAGTGTTTTTTGCACTACAAATAAGATATGTGCAGTGTGCATAGGAATTTATTCTTTTTTTTTCTTCAAATTATAATACGGCCCTCCAATAGTTTGAGGGACTGTGACCTGGCCCTCTGTTTAAAAAGTTTGAGGACCCCTGGTTTAGGATTTGAGCCATTTTAGTTTGACATGGGACCAAAATAATCTTGGTCTCCCAGCATTCCTGCTCCTTCAGCTCTTGTGCTGGGGTTCTTATGCTACAAATTTTAAAAGGCTTTGGTAGCCAGTTTTTCCCATAACAAGCTCTTGAATACAGATGCCATAATTGTTGAGATCAGTCTTATCACTGCCATGTGAAGACCCTTGTGGTCTCCATTGCATGCCACTGCAGGTTCCACTGAGAGACACTTTGTGATGGATCATTGCTGGACACAGGCTAAGTGTCTAGTTTTATCTACTTGGGGTCCATTTCCTTTTGAGGGCACAATCTCTTTGGTCCCACTCCCTTTTGACCTCTAAACATCTGGCAGTGGCTCAGGACCAAAGTTTCTGAAGGAGTGACATCCCAAAATGTGTTGGATAATTTTGAAGCAAGCGTATAGCATTGTTTCATGAATAAAGGAATATATTTTTTAAAAGTTGTAGTTTAGTGAGGCACACTTTGGCAAAGGAGGCTAAAAGGCATTGTAAAACTACACTTCCCAGGATTATATGGCTAAAGTGCTGTCAAACTGCATAATTTCTGCAGTGTAGATGCATCCCAGGTCAGGGTCGCACAGGAAGAGTTTTTCCCCAGTTTGCTTCTCTATGTGTTCCATAGTTGCTCTGCCACTGGCTTTTCATGCCCCTTCTACACTGCCCATATATCCCAGGATCTGATCCCAGATTATTTATCCCAGATTTTCTGACATTGCGTACTCATATAATCCATTTCAAACCAGATAACCTGGGATCAGATCCTGGAATATAAGGACTGTGTGGAAGGGGCCCCAACCAACAAAATAGTTTCCTTTCAGCTGACATGGGCTTGCACTACCTGGGGAGCTGAAACACATCCTGTAAGTCGGACTGGGCCATCCCCATTAATTTCTGGTTAGCTTGTTGCTTAACGTGTACAAGAAAGCAGAGTTGCCAACGTGTACAAGAAAGCAGAGCCCTCAGCACAAGGCCTGTGGTGCTTTCACATGACATAATTGCAGCCCTGTGTTATTCCCCTTGAATTGCCCTGGTCCCATCCTACGAAGTTCTGTGATTGTTAAGTATGTGCCTTCAAATTCTAGAATTATAGAGTTGGAAAACTCCACCAGGGCCGTCCAGCCCAGCGTCTGGAATCCCAGCAATACACAAAGCAATACCCATCCAGTCTTTCTCTCCAGAGAAAGACAGTTTACTATACTCTATAGCAGCATATTATTATTATTATTATTATTATTATTATTATTATTATGTTTATATCCCACTTTTTTTCTCTCCATATGGAAACTCAAAGCTGGATATTAAATAGAGCTTAAATAGAGTTTCCCCTAATATGTAGGTGGAATCTCCTTTCCTGTCATTTTCATCCACTGCTCCATGTCTTCTTCTTTGGAGCACATTTTCAATATAATCTCCTTTCATATATTTCAACATGTTGTCAAGTCAACCTTCTCTTCTCCAGGCTAAACATACCTAAGCTCCTTAAGTCACTCCTCATAAGTTTATTTTACCATTTTGACTCCTAAAGCCCAGTGTCACCTATATTTGTGCATTCATCTTTTTTTCTAACAAAAATGTAGTACACTTTTTTTTACTGGTTGGAATTCATTTTGTTAGTTTTGGCCCAACTTTCTAATCTGTTAAAGTCATTTTTGGATTATTATATTAGCTATCCCTCAAAATTTGGTGTCATCTGCAAATTTGGTTAGCGTGCCTTATATTCCATCATCCAAGTTATTGATAAAGATATTGACTAGCATTGGGTCCAGGACAGACCCCCCTCCCCCTCTCTTCTGGTCCTTTCTCTCCAGGATGAAGAGGAGTTATTCATTGTTCAGCACCCTTTAGGTTGGCCAGTTAACCTGTTCCCAACCTACCTAAAAGTAACATTGTCTATCCCACATTTATCAACTTCTTTGTGAGAATGTCATTGGGCATCTTGTCAAAGGCCTTACTGAAATTGCGATATGCTAGAGCCACAGCATTCCTTTCATCTACCAAGCTTGTAACTCTCAAAAAAGATAAGGTTAGTCTGGGTTGACTTGTTTTTGAGAAACCCAAATTGACTTTTTGTGAGTATGGCATTCCTTTTTAAGTGCTTACAGATTGTCTGTTTAACGATCTGTTCTAGAATCTTTCCTGATATTGATGTCAGGCTGACTGATCAGCAATTGGGTCACCCCTCCCTCCTTTTTCGAAAGTGGGGACAACATTTGCCTTCTTCCAGTCTGCTTGAGCTTCTCCTCTCTCCAGGAATCCTCAAAGATTATTTCCAGTGATTCTGAAATTGCTTCTGCCTGATCTTTTAATACTTTTGGAAGAAATCTGACCCTATTATAGTGACATTTCTTCAGAGTTTTGCTATTTCCTTTCTCTAAGGCTGAGTGATTTGCCAAGGTGGGTTTCCATAGCCTAAGAGAAGATCTAAATCCTGATCTCAAAGTTCAGCACTCCAACCACTTGGCCATGTTTGCTCAGTTTGCAGTCAAGGCAGAATTATTTCAGATTCAGATTCCCAGAGAGCTCTGATTCCTCACT